CCACGCCTTTCCCTTCTCCTTTACGCTCGTTCTAATTGACGGCTGCCTCTGGATCTCCGAGGGACTCTGCGGAGAAGAAAGCCCAACTTCCACCGCTTTTCTTTTTAATTGTCAATGTCGCGTTCAATCAAAAGAGCCGTGCGTGGAGTGTGTACCGGGCGCTGAAGGCGAAGTGAGTGTGGCCGGGAAAAAGTGCTCCGAGCCGGGCTAATTACCGCGACGGGGGCCCTGGGGGGTGGTCCGGAGCTGGAGCGGTTTTGTAATTAATGGGAGCTTGATGAATCTGCATCGCGTGCCTCGGTCCCAGCGGAGGTGAGCAGATTGTGGACACTTGCATGGCCGTTTAAGACTTTTATTGGTGCGCGCGTAGCCTTGTTCTAATGATGTTCTAAGTGTGTACGGCGCACTGGGGCTCTGCGGTCGGTGCAGCCATGACCTTACATTTAATTTCTCCAACAGCGCAAATCCCTTACTGCAGAGGATTTATAGAAATGAGGCTGCTTAGTGCAAAGTTGAACGAGATTACTTCAAGGACCAGAGGCGAGGTAAACAGTAAATTATGACTGCGCTTGAGCTAAAGGTAAACTAGTGTCCACAACAACATTTTCAGTATTTCATAAATAAGTCCAAACTAAAGATTGATTGAACAGTTTTCTCAATATTAAAAGGAAACACTTGTAAATAGAGCCAAAAGTTGCCTGTTGATACATTCAGTTATAGCCATAGACTGCATACTAAACAGGAAGTTCACATGCGGCTCTGACTCCGGCTCCCATTGACTTACATTGGAATATTGTGGCTCCTCTCTCTGTAACTGCTGCTGTGAGCCTCGTCATTTTGGTCTTTAAATGTTATATTATTAACATTAGCATATTAACCCATTCTACATGATCCTGCTGACTTTTTCTGCTATTTTTTCTGTTTAAAAAAATCTATTCCTAATATAAAGCCTGGCTCCAGATTTGCTCCTGTAACTGAGCTTCATTTGAGTGGCGCCGAACGCTATAGGTGACATCACACTCACTTAGTCCACTTCTTTATACAATCTATGGTTATAACTAATGCTGCTATCCAACAATAGATTGGTAGATATTGGTGGAGACTCTCTACAGCAGGCTTCTCCAAGCTCAGGAGCTACCATTCGCTCTCCACACCCTTCCAAATAGCTCGCCTAGGGATTTCTGAATGACATGCATTGTGCTGAATAACACATTTTTGGTTAATTAAATGACTATTACCGTAGATATATAATTTTAATTCCTAACTTTGTGCATTAATAAATGGTTTATGTTTTATAGATGTCTTACTGTATCATCTAATGCCGGGGCTCTTATTTACTAAATTTCTGGCGACCGCTAAAATGAATAGCTCTCTGGTATTTTCATTTTGTAAAGGTAACTAAATGGAGGAAAAGGGTTGAAGAGCCCTTCACTACAGGAAAGAGGTCGACCTTCTGACCACACGGTGCAGAGACAACATCCTCCAGCTGAACGTCAAGCAAGACTAAGGAGATTGTTGTGGACTTCCAGAGAGGCCACACCCAACACCTGCCACTGACCATTGACCACTGGAGAGAGTGAGCAGCACTAAACTCCTGGGGGTGCACATCAGTGAGGAGTTCTCAGCAGCACCTTTACTTCCTGCAGAAACTCAAGAGTGCAAGTGCCTCACCACCATCATGAGCACATTCTACAGAGGAACCCCTGAGAGCATCCTTTCAGCTGCATCACTGTGTGGGGCAGAAGTGCACTGACCACGACAGGAGATCCCTGCAGTGCATGTAGTGCATGAGAAACACTATTTTGATTCTTCATAATGTTTCGTATAAAGAATGACAATAAAACTTTTTTTAAATTTTTAATTTGAATTTGCTAAAATTCTTTTGACTAGGACTGGGAATTAGAGTCTCTCACGATTCAATATGATACTTGATTCATGGCTCACAATACAATATATCACAATATGCTGATACTCGATATATTGCACATGACACTGTGATATGTTGCTGTTTTTTAAGAACCAAATACATTTCAGCAACAATATTTCTTTGTTAAACCACTTCCTGAGCCAACGGAATATGAAATACATCTATTTTACTCATCAAAACCATGAAGATGCCAAGTGTATTTCATAAACAAGTTTCCTTTTAACTAAATAAGCAACTAAATGGTAGTGCTGTTACAAAAAAATGCTTAAAAGATACAAAAATACTCGATATATCAATAAATACTGATCGAAAAACACAACTAGCTCAACAGAAAATTCTGCCGTCACAGGAATCAATACAGCAGCTCATGATAACAATACTGTATCACCACATTATTATGATATTTTCATATTTTTGCACATCCCTACAAGGAACAGAAGTTAGGTTGTTATAAACTTTAACTATCTTTGTGTTCACAGGAAAAAGCTTGGCCTCAGTGTACGGCGACCCAGTAAGAGTGTCATTATAGACTGGCTTTACCACAGCAGCCAGTACTAGTGCACCTTGAGTGTTAAACGTAATGATATTCTAAACTCCGCACCAGGGCACTGTGGTCTGTGCTCTCACAACCTCCCCGTTAATTCCTCTAACTTCCAAAGCCCTTATGGCTGTAGATTTTGATGAATGGGCCTGTTTAGTGACCGCAGAAGTTGAAAGCTATTACTCTCAAGGACCTGGGCCGAGGTAAACAAAGCGCATTCTTAATTGGCGAAAATCAAAGTCGCCTGTGTGTTCGATACGGTTCTCTCAGGGGGCATCCGAGGTTGTGGCTGCCCCGGCTAATGAGGGCCAAAGAGGGGGAGAGCACAGCCGATCTGACACCCTCTCCAGGCTCTTCATTTGGGGACAGATAAGCGCGGCGGTTTCATGTGGGAGCGTGAGAGGACCATTGGCACCCGGGTCTCGCCTTTAGGCCCTCAGGGTAGCAGCGGTGGACAGGTTTGAGCACCTCGGGGGAAGCCAAATGACTGGAGGGCAGAGGCGGCACACACTCCGGGCTGTTAGTGTGTCTGAAGACTGGAAAATGTTAAAAGTGCACGAGCCAGAGACGGGATTTGAAGCTACAGCTCTAACTTGAGCTGTTATACAGGATTCTGTGTAGATTCCACATTTTTAACTGTCAGATTACATAGAAATCCAACGCTGAGAGTGGTCAAAGAGTCTGGCTCAGTGACTCCTTCCCTCAGGTTGGTGAGCAATTACTGAAAAAGGTACCCGATTTTTACTTTTTTAAAAACATGAAAAAAGTAACTAGCTCATTTTAAACAGTTTGCAGAAGTCCAAAGTTATTCCTCAGCTTTCTCATCATTTTTTCACAACTTTTAGAGGCCAGAGCAGAGTTTGCAATCCCTGGAATGCTGTTAACTAGCATGTTAACAGCACACTTCCTGGTTCGTGGAAGATAAAAATAGTTTAAAGTTACAGTAGAAGTTAGACACAGTACACAGTTGTCCCCAGAATTACAATATCTAGTGACAATCTACAAACCGTACAACGGAAAAACACTGGCACTTTCTAGCAGAGGTGGTAGAGTTGCCAAAAATTATATATTAAAATAAGAGTAACGTTACTTCAAAGTAACATTACTTAAGTAGAAGTACAACTGAGTGGTTCAAGAAAACACTTAAGAGTAAAAAGTATTTTGGGAAAAGTTCAAGTAAGAGTAACTTAAAGAGTAGTGAAAAAGAACTCTTTCAGAACTGAAGAAGCAGCTTGAATGAGCTGTGAAACGTCTGCAACCTAACTAACTTTTGTCCAGTCGACAAACTGAATTTTCTCCTCGCCTTTGAGGTCAGTAAGAAAGTGCACTAATTTTAAGTGTGTCCAAAAAATATGGTACTCTTTAAGTTACTCTTACTTGAAGTTTTCCCAAAATACTTTTTACTCTCACTTGAGTGTTTTCTTGAACCACTCATTTGTACTTCTACTTAAGTAATGTTACTTTCAAGTAACAAATCTGTCAAAATGTTTTAGTACGACTTTGGTAAACTATGAAGCCGCACCGCTTGATGGATTGTCGGAGCATTGCGGCTGCCGTAGTCAGGAGCCTCGCAGAGTTGTGTCCTTTAGTCGGCCAGAAACTGACTGCATCAGCACACAGAGAGCAAGCTGTTTTTTCAGAGCTCATAGTTTATGCAAATGAGCCATGTGGTTTTAAGTTTTGTTTTTGTAAAACATAAACAAAGGTGGCAAAGCTGTATTAAACACATTATTACTCAATGTATATTTGAGTCATCCTCATAGGAAATAAAAAAAACAAATTTAAATGATCCACCCACATTCACATTCATAATCCACATTCACCAAGACAGGGAGGCAACACCAGGCGAATTACGCCACAATCTGCCAATGGATGGTGGATGCCTGGGCTAAGGATCAGTCTCAAGTGTCGTCCGTTTGTTTCGCTTAATGCACCTTCTATGCTCGCCTTATGTATGAAAATAGACCAGAGAATTCAACAGTACTGACAATGTGCCTTATAATCCAGTGAGCCTTATAGTCAGAACAATACATTAACTGTCAGGATGTAACATCTAATTTATAATTTAAAGGGCCAAAACATCAAATAATGCACAGAATCAGGTATTGTCAAAGGATAGAGCCAAAAATGAGACACATTAAATCATATCTGAAGGAGCGCTGCAAGAAACACAACTTTTACTCAAATAAGAGTACTGTTACTTCAATAAAAATATTACTCAAGTAGGCGTAAATGTATGCTAAAAAGGTACAATTTATTTGAAAAGTTACTCAAGTAAAGGTAACTGGGACTTGAAGTACTAATATGCCTCTGAAGATAATGTAGTGTATAATGTACTGCATAATGTACAGTAACTAATTCCATATATACTAGATTATTTTTACGAGGTCAGCAAAGCAAATCGGCTTAGACTCACTTCATATAGTTTTTCACTACATCCATAAATCTCTCCAGTCTTCTTCAAGGCCTCTTCCCTGACAGACAATTCAAACCAGCAGTAAAAGTCAGACCAAACAAGGCACACGTCCTTACCTCTCTTCCACGGGTTTGTCCCCGACGGTCCAGCGCAGAGACGGGGCCGGGGAGCCGCTCACCACGCAGGGCAGGAGCACACTGGAGCCCACGGTTTTGGTCACGGACGAGGGCTGTTGTAAGAACTCTGGGGCCCGCTCCTCTCCGCTCTCTGCAACGTAAGAAACAGCAGCGGTGAGTTTGGTTGAAGCACCACTTTAAAGGTCACTGTGCTGCTCGTGGGTACCATAGCACCGGCAGTTCACATTTTAAGGACTTTAAAGGTGCGTTTGAAGCATTTAGTGTTGTCATGATACTACTTGATTTAGATACTAAGGAAGAGACTCGATACTCAATACAGATACTACAATGATTATTTAAAAAAACGCTCTTTATTTAGAAAACAGAATGTAATTTTCAATATTACATCCTAGTACTTTCTTTTGTATTATTGGTGGTCTTATATCTGTGTAATCCCTCAGTGGTCTGGGTAGGTTCCATAGTGGTCCATGGTACTCTTATACTTGTTCTGATACAGCTCAAGATCATTCTAAATCTATTCAGGAAAGGTTCATTTCTCCCGTCAATGTGACTTTTTTAGTATTGATACCTGCTCAAATGAGTATCTAGTTTTAGTAATGATTATTTGATTTTCGATACTTGGGTGTGGCGCTCACCGGCGTCACCTCCTTGGAATGCCACAGGGAGCGAACGCCAAGTGAGTATTGGCTAACAAAGAGAGCAACAACTTTGACTTTAGACTAGGGCTATCATTAAGAAATTGCTGATACGATACATACCTTGATACATAGGCAGCGATACAATACATATCTCAATACATTCCACTTTCAATTCTATACAATATATTTCAAATCAATTAAATTAATGGCTAAATTTTGGCTGTGATACTAAAAGTTTTTGTTTACTCATCAAAACAGTGAAAATGTCAAATGTGTTGCATAACTGAATTTCCTTGACTTTAATTTTCCTCTAAACAAGTAATAAAACTGTAGAGCTGTAACAAAAAAAATTAGTAAAATATACCAAAAAATACTATATTTTTGGTATATTTGGTAAATACTTGATATATCATCACGTTCAACAATATGAAATATCGATTTCAATACTTTTGCACACCCCTACTTTTGACAATCCAAAAAGCATTAGCATCCCACTGAACAGAACATAAAAATGGTCACAAGCTCAACAAAGCTCAAAACATGCCATCTTACATGTACTGATCTACGTACATTCCCTCTTAAAATACCATCAAACAGTCTACTAAAGGTGCACAATGTCGCATTTCTCCATAGAGATGTGATTGATTTGGCTGGAATGTTACACAGTATGGATTTAAACCTCTCTCTCTATGAAGACAAGCGGGTGACACCACCAGAGCAATTCACATGTCAGATCTGTGTAGAAGCAAGCCCACTCACAGTAAGAATAAATGCGTTTTCAGGGAATTATTTTAGCAATGTAAACACCTGTTATTGAATCACTGCAAAATGAAGGAGTTTAATGCCACACTTTGGAACTTTCCAGACATAGCATATGCATCTCCATGGTAACAAGCACCAAAATAATCACACAGTGCACCTTTATACAGCAATACTTAGGGCTGGGCTGATTTTAAGTTGTTTTTTTTTTTGAGCCGGCACCGATATCCAAAATTAACTGATATTTGCCAATACAGATATCTATTTATTATAAGCTTTTAAAATCCAACGCAAGGACCACAAATTTATCTCCAGTGAATTTGTTACTTTAACTTTTCACTTTTATAAAAATAACAACAAAAAGCATTTTACTGGAAAATAAAATTATTTGTGTGTAAGGTTTGTGTAACATACAGTCAAATAACACTTTTCTGTTTCTATTTTGAAACATCAGTCTGGTCTAAAAGGGCACACAAGGACTGGGGCAGCACAAAAAATGTCAGAATCAAATCCAGTATTGATACTGATATAGAAGGATCTGTATCTATATCTGCCAGTACGACACTGGAATCGATACACGGCCCATCCCTAAACATTAGCTAACCGCTTTTGTTTTCACTGACGATTCATTCAAGCTCACAAAGCGTCGTCATGACTCCAGTATTGTGCACATGAGGTTTATGCGGTGCGCGGGTTCACACTGCCGACGTGGAGGGGACATAAAAAGATAAGGGTCCCAGCAGGCTCTTGTTGGGGCTGATTTACGCGTGCTAATATCTCTCTGTGCTCTGGAGCCCGCTGCTTAACTACACAGTAAATAAAAGCTGCGAGGGGCCCGAGCAGACACTGTCACAAAGGAATCCAGCGCGAGAGTTACTGGCCCAGTGTAGTACAGGGCGATAACAGGCCTCCCAGGAGAGCCTCTGCCTTCACAGCACCGAGCGGAGGGAGAATGGAGATGGGCCAGTGCAGAGGAGGGCATGTGTACGACTGTCAGGAAATACAATCTAAATGCTTGGAAGAGGTGAGGTGTGCCAATTAAAACAAAATGACTGCACTGTCACTCTGATAACACACGACACACACATATAAACACTGTCAAAAAAAGTCTGAAACTCAAGAAAAAAAACACCAAATGGATTTAAACAAACATTCTCAGAAGCCTGTGATCAATATGAGCGTTTATGGTCCTGGTTAGGTGATTTTAAATCAGTTCTTTCTGGTCAGATTGTGTTCAAACAAAGCTCAGATTAATGTCCAATAAAGCCAAAGACACAGCAGAGCCTACAGTTAGCATCACACCCCCCGAGAACGTTGATTAGATCAGCTGCAAAGTCTCAGTCTATGGGAGTATTTTTGTTTTTTGGGGGGATTTTTTTTTTTTTATAGTAATTACAGAGATATGAACCATAAAGCGGGTCAAAATATCTGATATTGGCCACGTTTACATGTTTTAGAATTCCAAATTAATTGTTTTGAATTTAATAGTTGGGAATTAAAATATTCTCCTTCAAGTTTACATGGAAATAATAATTCCGAATTGAGTTTTGAGGTTTTTTGAGAAGACAAACTGAGTCATTGGCTGCTCTACCTCAGCCGACTCCCGCATCCCGCTCACAAATCCAAAGAGACGTGGATGAAAGTCCGAAGCCAGGACTGGTGCAGCCGGATCATCCGGATCGTGCCAGAAGGGCAAACGAGCATGTGCCGAACCACCGACATTATTTTTAGGAAGAATAAATGTGAAACATGATCGATTAATTCGGTTTAAAATAGGAATAAACCACCTACTTACTGCAGAATTAAGTTTAATTCTGAATAATCATTTTCATTAGGAATTAAGTGTTTCCATGGTCTTTTTAAAGTTTATGTTTTATTTTTTATTCAGAATTAGGTTATTTTTATTTGGAATTAAAGCTCTCATGTAAACATGGCAATTTAAAAAAGTAATTCTACCTGAGAATTCTGATATTTCCATGATCAGCTCAATTTTAAACAGAAAGTCAATAGAAGTAATTTTTATTATCAACAAGAAATGATCCATCAGTGTGTAGTTTCCAACTAACATTTACCAGAAAAATACCACAAGAAAGCAAACTACATTCTCTCTAACCATACTGTGTTTCCAGCGGTCCTTAACACCTTTACTGCTGTGACTTGATTACCTGTCTGCACCGTGAGCTGGGCCTCGTCGCTGGCCTTGGTGGCTCCTCCGCTCTCCACCACGCAGCGGTACAGGCCAGAGTCAGACTCTGAGGCGTTACTGATGACCAGAGCTCCGGAGGGCAGCTGGACCAGTCTGATGCCCAGCTCCAGGGGTTGTCGGTCCTTCTCCCAGCGGCTAAAGGGCACGAGGTCAGAGTTCACCTCGCAGCTCATCACCGCACTGTCCCCCACGCGGACACTGGTGGCTGACGGCTGGCTCGCGAACCTCGGCATTCCTGGAAAAGAAAGGAACGGTTTTGTTTAAAAAGAAGGAAAAAAACATCTTACATGTTTAAAAAGAAGGAAAAAAACATCTTACATGAATAGAGAATATAATAGTATCATATTTGTTAAAAAAACAGGAGGAGCTTTTGGAGATGTTCAAGAGCAGGAAGCAGCCGTCAAGAACAAGTAATAGTCAGGTTTATGGAGATGCAAGCCCACTCACAAACATGCTTTTACTTTAGTTTTTCTTGGCTAAAATGCTACATACTGTTGCTTTCAGCAGTTTGATTCCAAACACATTGCATACTTTATCATTTAGTACACATGTAAAAAGTAGTAGTAGTAAAGCAAATATGTTTATTTCTTTTGTTTTTCTGAAACATGGTGACCAATCTGCACCAATAGCAACTCACTCAAATACTGTATTTACTGTGATGTGTCTTGTCCAACAACAACATAACAGTCAACTGAACAGAGCTGGATTTGAACCACAAACCTGCCTGTTATAAGACAATCCCTCTACCACGAGTCACAGTTGCACAGTTTTAGAAATTACAAGTTACTTGACAAGTCGTGTCTCAGCACCTCCCTCTGCATCTGGCTGCTAGACTTCCTCAGCAAGAAACCACAAACAGTACATGTTGGCAACACCACCTCAAGCACCATCACTCTGAGCCCAGGGGCTCCTCCAGGCTGCGTCCTCAGTCCTCTGCTCTTCACCGTGCTCACAAATGACTGTACAACAACTTACAGCAACAACCACCTTGTGAAGTTCACGGACGACACAACAGGGCGATGAGACTCACTACAGGAAAGAGGTCGACCTTCTGACCACATTGGTGCAGAGACAACAACCTCCAGCTGAACATCAGCAAGACTAAGGAGATTCAGCTTCATCCAGCAGGCTGTTAGGATGCTGAACTCTCTCCCCTCTAACCACCAGGCGGACAGGAAGCAGGAATCTGCGTCTCCCCAAAGAAGAACTTTAGACTTTTCCTTTTATATTATTATTATTTAATTTAGAAGACTGAGAACATAATTCAGTTTAACGTATACAGACACACAATACTATTTACTATTTGAACACTATTTGTGCTGTATGTTCAGTATGAATTATGTCTTTATTCTAATCAAGGTGAACTTACTATGAAGTGTTAGCATACATTCTATTGTGTCATTAATATTCATTGCCCCTTTAGTTAGCCTTTAGAACCTGTTAGTACGCTGCCATATTGGGACTGCCATCTTGCCATCCATATTCACATGTCGAGCCGCCACCGCCTTCCCTTGTTCACACACGCACACACACATACGCACGTACATACACATGCACAAACGCACACACGCGCACACACATCCATGACCCTTAATAACGACTCCTAATTCTCCTCGCGCTAATTAAAAAATGACAGGATCAACCGGCTGTTCGCATGTAGCACTAGCTTTCATCTCAACACTTTATAATTAGTCCTGGCGTTTGGTATTGATTTGAAAGAAACAGTGAAATGATACCACACAAAGATTTTAGAAAATAACTTGCGCAAATAAGATTCTTGGGGTGATTAGAGAGAGAAAGACGGTCTGTTTTTAAGGACGAGAAGCTGGCGGTATTTGAGAGGAAGTCCTGCTGTGTTATTATGATGAGGGCTGCTTGAGTTTTGGAGCTGCCTGTGCTGGTTTCCGTGGTAATGCGCCGCGCAGGCCATGGGAGAAATAATGAATAATAATTTGCGAGGATAAAGACAGCGCTGGTGCTTTTGGAAGTATGTGAGGAGAGAGGAGAGCTGGCGGAGCTCGAGAGGAGGAGGAGATGCCAAGTTATCATTCTGCTACAAGGATCAGGGCGATTTGGATTTGAGTCTGGAGTTTGGGGGTGGGAAAGACTGGCTAAATTGAATATTGAAAATCTTGTTTATTCTTGTGATAGTGGCTCAAATATGTCAGATCATTATTTCCAATCCATCATACATGAGTTACGACGTGCAGGGAGAGTTTTGGTTGAGGTTTAAAAGCACTGTACCCGATTCTTTCCTGTCTTGTACGTATAGTGTACTGCATTATTTGGGGTTTATTGTCCAAGAATCAGGAATGTGGAAGGAAGTGCATGCTAGCATGCTAGTTGCTGGTAGCTGCAAAATGTCACACTTATCTGGCTGTGTTCTCTAACTCGGGTGTCTCCAAACCTGTAGCTCTCCAGCGCCTTCCAAATAGATCGCCAAAGTATTTCTGAATTATACAGATTGTGCTGAAGGACTGAAATTTGCTTAACTACTAGGGGTGTAGCGGTACATGTATTTGTACTGAAAAGTTTCAGTACGGGACGTTCAGTTTGGTGCAGGGTTGTGCACGAGTGAGTTTGTGTGGGTTTACACATTCCAGCACTACATGTGCAGCTACACGGAGGCTCGGCTCTTTAATATTCAGGAGGGACCTCATCTGTGATTGGGTCGCTTTATAGTTGGGTGGCCTCAGCCTTGACTACATCTCTCTGAACCACGTGAATCCTCGCAAAATTACGGTCATCGCACCCCTTTCCTCACTTTCACCTTTCACCGGCACGGAATCCCCTCCTCACTGTACCAAAAAACCAAAACATGATCACAAAACTGAGGTATGTACCGAACAGTGATTTTTGTGTACTGTTGCACCCCTATCATTTTGATGCCTAACTTAGTGCACTAACAAACTAATAAAAGTCTATGTTTTATAGGTATCTAACTGCTCAATTTCTTGTGAAAATGAGTAGCTCTTTAGGATTCTCTTTTTGTAAAGGTAACTCCTCAGAAGAAAAAGGTTTGAGACCCTTGTTCTAACCTGGTACTCAACATAGTGAGCTCAGATGCTTGTTCCATGATGCTATGCTCCATGGTTAGATATGTTTAATGCCATAATGTGCAACATTCTAGGCAAAGCAGTAACGTTTCCATGGAGAAGCAGGTGGCGGTCGCACTTTAGAGTTCAGAAACGAAAGATTACATACTTTACTTATAGATCATACTGACTATCTTTAAACTACTTCAGCGAAAACTAATAATGGTCATGAGCTTCTACTTTAATTGTACCCAGAGATGGTAGAGCAGCCAAAAACTGTATTCACGTAAGAGTAATTTACATCAAAACAATATTACTCAAGCAGAAGTAAGAAGTAGTGGTAAAAGAAATAAAAGTAAAAAAAAAAAGTAAAACTACTTGCATAAGAGTAACTTACAGAGGAAGTGTAATGCACAAGATCTGGTATTTTCAAAAGATAAGACACAAATGAAAGATCTTATCTGAAGGAGCTACAAGAAAACACAAATTAAATTATTTCAGATTGTCGCATAAAGCTTTTGTCACTTTAGACTTACTTCAGTTAAAGTTGTGGTTTCTCTTCCCACTCTGAGTAAGAGTACTGCTACTAAGAGTAAAGGTATGCTGCTAGAAAAGTACTCCAAAAAGCACAGTTTCTCAAGTAAATGAAGCTGAGTAAATGTAACAGTAGGATGATAGCGTCCACAGAACATCGATGCCAAATCCATAAGGTCAATCCATAAACAGTTCTTCTTTTCCAGCCCCAAAAGTACATAGGAATCAGAGTTTTTGTAGCCGAGCTGTTCCAACATCAGACCATTGTGTAATCTGTGAACAAACTCGCTCAGTCAGCACGTGCTTCAATTATTTAAAAAGTGCTCTGAAAACAATGTGGACTTTAGAGTGATGCAAAGTCATAAAGCGCGTTCTGTTGTGTGCTGTCGCTGTGAATGGCCGACATGGCTGTGGTGTAATGGTGCGTGGAAACAGATGGGACAGCTTCATTCTTGGCCAAAAACTATTAACAATAATAAGAGATTTAGTCACCAATGTACCAATCTCACGGACGTTTAGGAGCCAGTGTTCCAGCATCAGGTATTTTCATGTTAAATATCCATAAATGTTCAACAACGATCGTTACAAAGTTAAAGGTGCACTGTGTAACTTGTCATCTGCTCGTCTCCATGGTGATGTTACTGCTTTAACTGGAATGTTCCAAGGTATTATCTTGCATTTATTCAATTACAAGTGCTAAAAATACTTTGATTTTTAGTTCTACCGAGATCTAACCAAAAACTCAACATGATGGCGCAATAACATTTAACTGATCTGTGTTTAAAGTTTTCAGATTGTTGAATATGGATCTCGTGGGCTAGTTTCCAGGTAGATGGATAAATTTAATGCCATACTGCGGAACATTTCAGGCAAAGCAAACAACATCTCTATGGAGAAAAGGTTCAAGTTTCAGTAGTCTCCACCAGAAAAGTTACGCAGGGCACCTTAAATCCTCCTCTATTTTCTGCTCCATGTTGCCTCTGTTCAACCTTGTGATGTCATGAGGTAATACAGGAAGTGCTCCACATTGTTTTTGAACTCCATACACCTACACTAGAGTCATTTGGATCATTTCAGGCCTGGAATTGCCAATCTCTACTGAACTAAAAGGTAGAAGGAGCAGTTAACTTGACCACGAAATCTACAGGTAAACATATTTTTAACATATTTTTTTTATAGTTTTGCAGTTACATTAGGGTAACCAGATTTTCAAAATTCTAAACTAGGACACACCCGGATTGGGATTAGGGCTGGATATCATTCAGAAGTTGCAGATACAATCATTAAGCGACGATACAATACATATCTCAATACAGTGAGCTTACGATTCAATACAATAGATTTCAAATACGATACGATTCGATATGGTTCAATAAAAAAATAAAGGCTAAATCATGGCTGTGATACTAAAAGTCTTTGTTAAACCACTTCTTGCAAAGTTAAAATTTAAAAAGACCATTTTAATCATCAAAACAGTGAAAATGTCAAATGTGTTGCATAAACAAGTTTCCTTCCTCTGAACAAGCAACAAAACTGTAGTGCTGTACCAAAAAATGTCAAAATATACTAAAAAATACTCTATTGATATATCGACACAGCAGCCCACAATGTCAATCACATTAAATGATACATTATATCAATATTTCAGTATTTTTGCACACCTGGG